GTTTTTATGATTTCTGTTAGTGTTTTTATGATTTCTGTCTGTGTTTTTATGATTTCTGTCTGTGTTTTTATGATGTTTGTCAGTGTTTTTTTTCTAAAGCTGGGCAGATTTTTTATTTTTTAACACCATTAATAAGCTGAAGCAATAGTACAGCACTGTGACAGAAGTTAAAACTTGAAATATTCCTGGAGATCTTTCTACTAGTTTGATTAAATTTACCCACTGTTTCATGAGAGGTTTTGAAACAGATTATGTAAATATGAGGGTCCAACACATTTAAAGGAGGGGTCATTGCAGCTCTGAGCCCATCTTGTTAGAGCAGCTCAGACTCATTAAAGCCACATGTTCTGCAGTCAGAAGTGGCTTTTAGAAGTCTTGGTTAATCTAACTGTCTCAGATGATGGATCTCTGGTGGTCTCTGGTTGTGCTGCAGAGCTGGAAAGAACGAGCCTGAACCAGAGCAGCCTGTCCCCAGGAAGGTGGTCATCAGGACGCTGTCTTCACCTGATGACATCGACCCTGACGTCCTCGAGAGCATGCACTCCCTGGGCTGCTTCAGGGACAAGGACAAACTGACCAAAGACCTGCTGGCAGAGGAGTGAGTGGGGGGGGGGGGGCAGAGACAGAAGTGTATGAGACGTGTTGAGAATTTGTCAGTTTGATGAATTCTGCTCTTCAGTTTGTCCTGTTCTGATGGAGCATCACCACACTCAGCAATCTGTCCAAATGTCTTCATTCTCAGTGACAACCAAGAGAAGATGATCTACTTCCTGCTTCTGGATCGAAAGGAGAGGTATCCCAGCCACGAGGACCAGAACCTGCCTCCCCGAAACGAGATCGGTATGAAGCTGCAGCTGATAATCCAGCTGGATTATTGTTACTTTGAACAAACAGAGACAGGATCCATCCAGTGTTACTCTCTGAAAATCTGTCACTGGTTTGTTGGTCAGAATTTAAAGAGTCACAACAGTTTGATGCTTTTAGCAAAGAAAAACAGTTTTCAGAAGCAGCAATAAATCTGAGAACAAAGATTATTAAAGAACAAAGATTATTAAAAAACAAAGATTATTAAAGAACAAAGATTATTAAAGAACAAAGATTATTAAAGAACAAAGATTATTAAAGAACAAAGATTATTAAA